GGCAGAAAATAGAGGCGAACTCAAAGGAAATGGAGAAGTTCTGAAAGGCGATGGTCGGCTTTCAGTGAATTTCGGCATGAATTACTGATGTGGTAATTGTTGTGATGCCTCGGCCAAGGGTACAACGTCATTGGGTCAGAGTTTCGGTCAATTTGACGACAGTGCCGAAAAGTTAGCCAAAAAAAGTAGTAACATCCGAGATCGAGGCTTAACAATAACACCTAAGACGTTGATACTGAAAGACCAAAAGTCGAAGAGATAGGAAAAAAAAGTTTTGAGGAGGTCCCTACTGCCCAAAACCTTCCACCTACCCTTTCAACCCTGATCCTCCAATATTTCTCTCAAGCCATCACTATCCCACTGAAAGGCCGAGGTCGAAAAGGTACAGAAGAAAAGTTTCGGGAAGGCAGTTGCTTCGCAAAACCAATCTTTTCTACCCTTTCACCTGTAGTCTTTCAGTTTGACAACACCTGAAATTGTAAAGAGACTAAGAAAGAAGAAAGAAGATAAAGAACAGAGCAAATCACCCAGAAATAAAGGAGCGATCCCAAAAGAGGTGGAGGAGGGGAAGGAGACCTTAGCGAATTGGGAACTCATCATGGTACAATGGGAAACTTCTGACTATTTCACTTAAAAAGGGCCAGAGTTAGTGACTTTTCATTGTATGAAACAATCAGGACTTGCCCCATGTACCAACATGAGGTCCCAAATTATGCCCATCAAGTAGTTTACCTGGGCCCCTTTATGGACAGCAGTTATCTACTTCATAAATGAGGCAGACATCAAGGCCGAACTGGCTGACGGACTCAGGGAACACGCAGACAGACAGGTAGATGGACGGCTACAGACATACAGAAAGGAACTGACAGTCACTGACTGCAGACAGACAGAAAGGAAGGAAGACATGGACACATAAAGACAAATTGAGACAGGCGGATGGACAGATACCTGGACGGGAGGACAGGGACGGGCAGCACGCACAGGTGGGCATGCACAGACGGATACGGACAGACAGGGGGACACGGACGGACAGACAAGGAGGCGGACAGGCACGTACAAAGGGATCGACGCGGACAGACGCGGACCGACACCCACAAGGACGTAGCATGCACAAACATGGACAACACATACACGGACAGACAGGACAAGACGATACCGTCGACCGCTCGTTCCGCCCATACGCCCTTCCCATCACACGTCCTTGGACCACGATCGCCCATACGGATCTGAAATGGGCCAAATCAAGGTAAGGCACAGGAAGAAAAGCGAAAAAATGTTATACCTGTGGCCCCATTCGCGAGTAGGCGGTGGATCGTCAAGGTCCTGTCGGTCGGGGAGACCTTATTGATCCACTAATAACTGAGCGCACACCTGCAAATCACTTTTTTATTCCATTATTCTATCGAATTTTTAAAAAGGAAAGATAGGAAAATGTTACTGACCTGCGCAAGGTGTGCGCTCATGGGAGCGTCCCCAAGTTGCACCTCGCAGAGACCACTGGAGTGTTGACTCGGGTCTACCTGAATAATGCTATATAAATGGGTTGAAGACCCTCTGAGAAGCTGTGTAGGACGACAACGACTTGTTCATTATTTAGGGCAATTAAAAAACAAACATAAAAGATTACTTGATATAGGAGACAAAAGAAAAAAAGAAAAAAAGGCGTCCACCGCCGGCAGAGAAAAAGGAAATGAAGAAAAAGGATGCCACAGCCCACCAGTGCCGTGGAATCAATGGAGATGGGCGGCCTTATTGGGTGGTTTGATTCGCTTCGATTGTGACCTCCCATTGCCAACTCAATTCTACCGAAATGTAGCCTCCAATATCAAGGAACGGATGAATCATGATGAATAAGGAATGAGAGAATTCCGATCGATTCAGTACAAAAATGCCAGAGCCGGCAGCTTATTGCACAAGATATCGATTGGAAATCCAAAAACACTAAAATCACAGGAAAAGATCGATCCAGATAACTTAATAAAAAAATTTTTGAGGGATATTACTCACGAATCAAACCATGACCACGGAGAGACGATTCCGAGCTGGTTTTATTAGTTTTATACGCGCGGGAATACTCCGGAGTACCCTACCTGATACTGCATCGACCCGAATAGATCTATCGCTCTTTCAGCAAACATCAGGACAACATAGACAAAGCGACAGAATCAGAACTAGCAGTAGGTACTAATAAATATTGAGAAAGAGGAATTTTCAGTGCACTTCAGTGCTATTAAACTAAATAACAGCAAAACCGCTGCTCGGTGGTATACAAACTTGAAGCAATACTAGTTATCCTGAGCCGAATCCTCTGCTCCGAAAGTTGCTCTGAAGATTACACTCTTTCCAGGACTTCCTCCAATTGAGGAAAGGATTCATACTCTTCCAAATACGATCAACCAAAATTATTAAAACAATAAGATAAATCAATTAGGATAAATATACCAATGATGATTCTATCGCAACTATAGCACCCAGAAGTAATAAGCTCTCATTCCATTAGTACCGAAGGTTCCCTTAAATCGAGAGTTTTACAATGGATCTGCTCCGTGGGACGGTACCCCTACACCACTGATGCTCTCGACGTGTTGGTAGCATGTGAGGGTAATGAACGTCCAGTTTTCAAGATCGCGAGGAACAGACTCACTTCGAAGGGGTTGTAGGATGTAAACGTGTGGGCATGAAAACCTAGGCGACAGTGGTGGTTCTGTGTGTTGAACTTTGGTCACGCCGTGGGGTCTCCCCCCAAAATCTCCGAAAATCAATCCATCAGAGACCGCCAAAGAACGTACACTTCTTTTACCCTTCTTGTTTTTCGTATGGTCCTCCCAGATTTGGGCGGGAGGCCCCCATCCGCGGCCAAAGTTCACCACATAGAACGATCACTGGTCGTGTGGTTTTGCAAATCCGCACGTAAACGTCCTTTCAATTTCTTCGAGGGCATCGATCTCCCGTAATTTTGGCGGGACACCTACGGGCTATACCGGACTTCGGGAAATAGAACAACCGCGAGCCCCAGTGTGCTTGTATCCTGCATGGAAACCTCGTGTATTCACGATAAGCTTGAAGGGACTACCTACTATGTTACGACAAGGTTCAGAAAAAGATTGGTACCCTTATTAAAAGGGCAGTACTGAACTATGCAGTTAACCCTCAAAGATTCACCAAGGGGACGATCGCGCGACTCATATTTTCGCCTTAACATTGGGTGCTTGGTAACGAGCAAAGCTCGCTAATGGTTAAGAGCAAGGAAAACCAAGGCAAATTAACGGAGTTAAGGAATGGTTTTCCTTTCAACCAGACTCCGTAGCCCGCTGAACACATCTTTTTTTTATGAAAGTTATTTCATTTTGGGTTGGTCGGATACTGGGACCTACCGCCTTATGTTCAAGATCAGTCTGATGCAAAGGAATCATTTCAATTCTTTACAATCACTTTTTCTAAAAGCCAGGAAATGTACTACTCGACTTCTATAGGCTGTCATCATCGTCTTATTGCTGCTCAACTGCGAAGATATTACACCCATCAGAGTCAATACAGAACACCTTGAATGCCCAAGCTATTAATTTGTGCTTTTAACAGTTGTTGAACACTCCTGGTGCTAATAGAATCCTGGATGGAAACTTCGAGTCCGGCTGTCAGCTAGACAAATTGCTAGCTGTACATTACAACGTTTGTAGAGCGAGAAAGTTGCGACCCTGGCATTTCCATTCATAATATGCCACGCAGAGGTATGACCGCCTTCGACGCTTTAGAGACAATCAAGCTAACCACTGCACTATGGAAGCTCGAACAAACCTCTTATTCTGAAATTCTTTTTCGACTTTGGCACCTTCATGAACTATCGAGATACCTTTGAACTTTTCTTGACTCTAATTTTTCACGAACTTGACTAGGATAGCCGCTTCCCCACTCGGAAACAGTACGATCACTTCATTGTATGCCTGCGTAACCCTTATTCGGTCACTGCGGCCCTGTACAAAAGAATATTACACAGACATTCTCTATATTCAATGTCATACCTCATGGTGTTCGGCTGATCATGTTCTCTGTATGGGAGAAGACAGATAAGTCGGTGGGTGGGAAGGGGGAATTGCAGGGTCGGCTGATGAGATCTGCAGCCGACTCGAGACTTGTGAAAGAACACACTCATGACGGCGCAGGAGTGAATGCGAAAAAAAGAACCTAAGAAAAACTTTATCGATGTATACGCTCCTCTGTATACGGCGCTTCAATCGTTGAAGTTTCTTCATTTTTTTCGTTAGCAGCAGTAATGCAAAGTTGCAGACTTTTTGAGTCGTGCTGAAAAAATGTGGGTCATTTTTCGTGTTTTTCGAACAACATTTCCACAAACAATATTGTTTTGAAGTAAAGTATTTTACAGGAACGATAGTCACATAGTGAAAAGTTGAGTATGTATGACGAATCCAAACATTTTATCCGTTTCCAATAGATTCTGTCAGGTTGTTCAGCTGAACCGCCTTGGCTGGGTTCGAGTGTTCTGCAGTAGGATCGAAACTGTCGCGCCGCGGCGAGAGAGACCCCGCGCGCGAAGCAATTCGGCAGATTGCGGCAGCAAGTAAGAAATACAGGAACAAAAGAACTTACATTAGAATCATGCCAAAAATAATAATCGCATATCGACTGGACTGTATGAAGGATACTGGAACTGTGATAATTTATTTATTTATTTATTTATTTGATACACCAAGGGGTGTGCCATACAACAGAAAAACAGGAACTGAAAGGCAAAAGTCCTCTGAACACAAGAAGAAAAGAAAAAAAAGGAAAAAACATCAACCTGAGAAAAGGTGAGGATAAAGCCAGAGCTGAAACATGATACACGCCTCACTAGAGGAA